ACCTTTGTGGTTCAAGACTCTCCTTTCTGTTGCAAGGGCACCCAGTACCAGTCCTGGTCCCAGTCCCCGCCCCGTTCATTGCTGTGTTCACTGAAAATGTCCCCCAGCCTCCTTGAACCATGCTCGTGCTCGGCCGCCAGCAAGGCTTTCCACCCTGGAAACGGACAACTTACCCCAGCTTAAAGATCTGCGGGTGACTGGCTCCCCAAGATCCAGCTCTTCAGCTAGGGTTCAAGTCCCTGAACCCAGATGTTACTCCCTCTTCGACTTCCTGCCACTAGAGAAAGCCTTTTCTTTGGCCTCTTCTAGAGGCCGCAGGACATCTTCCCCCATAACACCATCTGACAGCCAATGTTTACTGAGTACTTACTATACCTTGGATAGTCTTTTCTTTAAAAAGTTATTTATTTATTTATTTATTTATTTATTTATTAGAGAGGGGGAGGGAGGGAGAAAAAGAGGGAGAGAAACATGAATGTGTGCTTGCCTCTCACATGCCCTGTAGCTGCAACCCAGGCATGTGCCCTAGACTGAGAATCAAACCAGTGACACTTTGGTTCTCAGGCCAGCACTCAATCCACTTAGCTACACTGTTGTGGAAAATCACTCACTCTCAGAGAGATAATGAAGCACAAACTTTATTACGCGTGTGGGCTCAAGGGGGAGGTTAATTTCCCCAAATCCTGAGCAAAAAGGCTGGACTGGAGCCCTCTTTATACACCAGTTACACAGGCAGAAAGGGAGGGGGAACCAGCTGCTGGGAGCAAGCGGCTGAGGTCAGTTTTGGCCTTGAGATAACCAGCCGTTGCCTTGGTGATGGCTCCTTACCTGAAAATAGCTTTTTGCAAGTGTTACAGAGAGCACTGCTTACCAAAGAAGTTACAGAGCATAGAAACTTTTTCATGGGGGTTTTCTTCTCCTGCCACAACACCAGCCAGGGTGCCTTGGATATTCTTAAAAGAACTTTAAATACACTAATTCTATGGAGTGAGTTCCATTATCACTTCCATTTTATAGATAACAAAACCTTAGACTTCTGAATGAGTGTGAGCCCAGGTGTTGTGTTCCAAACCACTACACCGCCCTGTCTCTTTTTGGTCCACTGGACTGTGCTGATCAATCTCCTCTAGTTTCGGGAGGCAGTTCCAAATGATCTGACTGCAGGCATTTAGGGTGACAATTTGATTGGAAGGGCATGTGAGAGTGTCAGCTTGAAACTACACTCCTAATACTTATCTAAATGTGCTTAACAAAAGTGGGTGGGGAGGGGTGCTGCAGGCCCAGCCTCAGTCCCTTATTTCTGTCTCCATCCCCATGCCCAAATCTCAAAATCACTGTCACCTCTAGCTTCACCTCAACTTTAAAGAGCCACCATCACCACCTCCTGACCCACCCAGCACCACATTCACCCTAAACCCATCCCCACTAGTACATACCCCTGCCCTCCAAGGCCCACTTCCACCCTGCTGTGAATGCTTGAGAGACAGAGACGGGAGGAGCTGGATAATTAGATCTACATGCCTTTATTTGATGCTGTGATTGTTGGTGGGCTGAGTCTGGACAGAGTGCAGCCATGAAAGGAAGCAAGAATGGGGTTTTTAAAAGAAAAAGCTCAGGGTTTCGGGTGATTGGGGGTGGGGAGGATAAGGGAGGGGCTCATCTCTTGTTCTTCTGGACTGTAGCCTCAGGGTTTCAGGATGTGAGCCTGAACAATGGGCTAGGGAAAGGGTGGGGCTGTCCCAGGCACAGGAGGGTGGGTCTGACCTTTGAGGTGGGTGTCAGGTGTCTAGTGAGTGAGGTGGGAGAGTTTGCATTAAGCCTCAGGCTCTGAAGTGAGTCAGGATAACTGAGTCACTGGCAGTTCAGCTTGTTGGAAAACTGGCCTGTCTGGGTCGGGAGCAGTCTGGTGGGTCCAAAATCCGACTGACCCTTTCACACCCCAGGTCTCCTTCCCATGCCCCCTCCAATCTCACCCCCACCTTAGTTCCCACCCTAGCCTTTCCTAGTCCCACCCTCCATGGCACCTGACCACACCTTCCTGTGTCTCTCCTCCTGTTGTCTCCACACTCAGAGTGATGTCATTGTGGGTGGGGCCTGTGCACCTCCCCTCAGTGCCCTGCCCCACCCCCCATCTCCCAAATGCCAGACCCCTCTATGGCTTAGCTATCTAGGGAGAGCTGTTAGGTGGAGCAACCTATTGATTCTCAATTGGTAGTCAGATCTTCCAGAGGCTTCCATACTTAGAAGCACCTTTCACCCCTCCCTACCACCACTACCTCAGCACAGCTGGGACTATTTCTCTCATTTCACAACTTCTCCGAACCAACTACTACTATGACTGATCCTATAACAGTACTGCCAGTCTGTGAATGAAAGGATGCTTAGCTGCACTAATCAGCAGTGAGACCTGTAGAACATGCCCTATCCAATAGTCAAAACATTTTACAGGTCTGACCACGTGAAGTATTGGCTTGGACATGAGGCAACAGGAATTGTCCTGTTGTGTCTGGCAGAAGCGTATGTGGGCTTGAAAGGCAGTGAGACACCATTTGGCAAACTAGTGGAGCTGAAGAAGCATAACACCTACATAACCTTCCAACTCTACCCGTGGGCATATACCCTCGGTAAATGGTGGCACGCAGGCCCCCAGAGACACAGCGAAATTGCCTGTGTGTGTGAGAGAGTGCAACACTGGAACACCTCAGGTCTCCAGGCATCCAGAGAATTCCCAAATACGACATATTGCTGTAGAGGAATACGATGCGGCTGTGAAGATGAATGGATTAGAACTTCAGGTAACCAACCTGGATAAATCTCAAATGTCGAGCCCAAAGAGTGACGTTGGGACTGATACATGTATGTGTATAAAGCGCCACTGAGATAGAGTTTAGAAACAGGTAGCTCCATGCCTGACCAGGCCCGGCGTTCCTCCACCTGCAGACCAGCCCAGGGCCACACAGCTGCACTCTGAGTGTGAACCCAGGTATTGTGTGTTGTGGGTGGCAGTGGAGTATACTTAGGAAGCCCTGGTACTCACAAGCCCTCCCACTTCACCCCAACACTGAGCTTTCAGTGCCCTCATCCCCCGGGCATCAGGATACAGGGGGCCTCTGTGGAGTGGTGTCCCTCATCTTCCTCCAGCTCTACACCTTATCTGCAGGAGGAAGTGGGGGCCCTCAAGGGGAAAGAGAGGGGCAAGAACCAAGGGGGGGGGGAGGTGAGGAAAGAGATAAAGAAGAGCAGCAGGAAGGGAGAAGGCAGAAGAAGAGGAAACACTATAGTCATAGAGGCCTGGAGCGCAGAAACTGGTCTCTCACAGTTTGGATCTGAAGGCCCAAGTGTGTTAGCCCCGGGTGGAGCTGTGGCAGCTGGCAGTCGAGCACAAGCCCCCCACTCGCTCCTTCCCCCGCCCCACCTTGGTCGGCCATCATGCCGTGCAGGGCTCTAGGCCTCGAGCAGGGAGTGGCGGTGCCGAGGAACCTTGGCACTTTAGTTTATTCGACCCTCTTTCAATCTGTCAACGGCCGGTTTTCCCTGAGGGCCCACCAAGGGCCCCGGGTCACCCACGTTTGTTTTACTTGCCAGCACCTTCATCATGCCTTTTGGAGACACCCCTTCCCTGCCATGTCCCTATAAGTCACATGAGCGTTTTCCCCAAGATTTCAAAACTGAATCTGGTAAGAGTCAGGGCCCTCTTGGGGGCTGCAGTCACAAGATGAGGGGCAGGCCATGTGACTGTCACACTCCCTGTCACCTGTGGGATGACAACTGCGGTTTGTTCTGTCAACACCTAGCAGCAATTACTTCACACTTCCCACGCGCCAGGCACGGTTAGTGCTCCATATGCACCGAGGCAGTTAGCCTCAGAACTGCTTCAGAAGGCAGGTGCTAGTGTTATTAATAGTTTGTACATAAGAAAACCAAGATACACTGGGAGAAACAAACTCATCCCCAGCGATGAGGAGAATTGGTATTTGAGCCTGTGCAGTCAGATTCCCAAGAGCATGAACTGCACCTCTACACCCCCTCAGATGCTTACAGGGACTCACAAGTGCCAAACATTCTGCGTGGTGCTTGCAGTTCCTGTGCCCTGGGAGGCATACCCTGGCCTCAGGGCCTTTGTACTTGCTGCTCCTTGTGCTTATTAAGCTCTTCCACCACATATCTGCAAGATTCTCACGCCCTTTGGGTCTTGGGCAAATGTCACTTTATCATTGAGGCTTCTTCTGACTATCCTAAATAAAGCAGCCTCACCTCGGGCTAACTCTGGCACCTTCTATGCCACCTTCTGCCCCCTCCTTTGCCTTATTCTCTGGTCCCTACTACCATGTGACATCTTACTTATCTCTCTGTGTGATATCTTACTTATCTATCCATATGAATACTATGTATCTGCATTTATTCGCTCCTTGTCTTCCCCCGGTAGGAAGGTGACTCTGAGAGAGCCAACTTGCCCATTTTATTCTCAGAGCGCTGATTAGTGTCTGGCACACTGCCAGCCTTCAACCACCTCTCATGATGGAATGAAAGGGGCTACAACGGTGGAAAGCCAGATTCCTGCCGTTAGTGAGCTCAAATCTATTGGGGACAATGAATGGTCATCAAACACACGCACACACACGTTTATTTCTGGTGGCAGTAAGTGCTGTGCTGAAAACTCAAGCTGCGTGAGAGAAACGAGATGGTGGAGATGGCATGGTGGATGTAGCGGTCTGGTGAGGCCTCTGGGAGGGAGCAGTTAAGCAGAGATTTGGATGAGTTAGGGGGCGTAGTGTGGTCAAAGCCCAGGCGGCTGCCAGAGTGGAGTCATTTTAAGAGGTGGGTGGTGGGAGAAGAGATGGGGTGAGTGGCAGGGTCCCAGTCATGCAGGGCCCTGTGAGGTCAGGAGGTTTTCAGAGGTGAGGCAGAGAACCACCTCCGGCTTTTTGGGAGGCCCCCTTCCAAGCTTCCCGCTGGTAGTTTCCTGTGGCTGCTGTAATAAATGTTCGAAAACCTGGTGGTTTAAAACAACAGACATTTATTCTCTCATAGGTCTGGAGACCCCAAGTCTGAAATCAGTGCCTCGAGGCTGGAATCCAGGTGTCAGCGGCCCACGCTCCCTCCAGAGGCGCTGGGGGATCTGTTCCTCACTTCTCCCAGTTTCTGCCGGCTGCTGGCAATCTTTAACTTGTGGCTGTCACCTCTGCCTTTGAGGTCACATTGCTTCCTTCTCTTCTTCTGTGTCAAGTCTCCCCGTGACTCTACCTCATCAGGATACTTGTGATTGCATTTAGGGGCTACCTGGGTAATCCAGGATACCTGCTGCATCTCAAGATCCTTTTAAAAAAGATTTTATTTATTTATCTTTAGAGAGAGGGAAAAGGAGGGAGATAGAGAGGGAGAGAAAATTCAATGTGTGGTTGCCTCTCCCACCCCTACAACTGGGGACCTGGCCTGCAACCCAGGTATGTGCCCTGACTGGGAATTGAATCTGCAACCCTTTGGTTTGCAGGTTGGTACTCAATCCACTGGGCCACAACCAGCCAGGTGCACCTCAAGGTCCTTCATCACATCTCCAATGTCGAGCCCAAACAGTAAGGTTGGGACTGATACATGTATGTGTATAAAGTACCATTTTAAAGTGCCATGAAAAGCTGCAAAGTCCTTTTTTCCCACGTAAGGTAAAATTCCCAGGCTCCAGGAATTAGGATGTGGATACCTTTGGGGGGGGGGGTGATGTCTGTGTGTGAGATATTACTTAGCCTACCATGTCTGTGCTTTCTAGTGTCTGGTAATTCGATGATTCTTAGACTAAATTAGTGTCCTCATTATCTTAGGCTTGCTCAACCTGCTTTTCTGTTGTTATGATGAGAAACTTCTACACTAACTCACTTCCCCACACAGTAGGTGCCAATAAATGTTCAAGTGGAAAGAGAAAAGGAAAGGGGGCTCACATGTCCTGAGCCTGCACGGTGAATACGACGCACAGTGAGTCCCCAGCGAATGCTGAATTAAGCTGGTTCTTATACAGCGCAGAGGAGTCTACGTGTTATCCTTCGAGTTTCACTGGGTGAAGTGACTGATTAGTCACTAAGGGTGCACAGGGAGGGGTGGGGGCTTCAGGACTAGCAGTCACCTGTGTGTGACTCCAGGGAATGCATGCTTCCCTACATCAGGGCTTCACAACCGGGACACAGCTGATACTTTGGGCCAGATGACTCTGCTGTGGGGGCTGTCCTGTGCGTCGTACTAGTATATGCAGCAGCATCCCTCACCTCTAACCGCTACATGGTGATGGCACCCCCAATTCATGACAACCAAAATGTCTCTAGACATTGCCAAATGCCCCTGGATGGCAAAATCCCCTCTTTCTGAGAATGACTGCACTCCATCATGCTGCCCTGCTGCAAGAGGTGACACAAAAGTACTGTTTCAGCTGAGAACTGAGTTCAGGTGTTGCGCAGAGCAAGGAAGAGGCTGCATCTATGCCACTGAGGTATTGGGGTGGAAATTACCGGTTCCAGTATCTACTGATAGTCACCTTTGTTTCTCTAGTAAAAATTTTCAGCTGGGGACATTACTGCCAGATAAAAACTACATGTCCCAGCCTTCCTTGCAGCAAGGTATGACCATGTGACACATTCCAGCCAATTAGAGGTGAGGTGGGCAAATTCTTAGCTGTGTCCTTGAAGGAGCACATCAGGCTCCCCTTCATTGCCTTTTCCCTGGTCTTGCTGCCTGGGATGTGGACCTGGTAGGGACATGATCAAAGAATCCTTGGTTTTGGTACCAGGAAGCAGCTGTTTTGCCTGGTCTGCTTATGCTTGGACATTACTGAAGAAACCAACTTTGTTTTGGTTTCAACCTCTGTTATTTATGAGTTTTGTTAAATTGGCAAACCTGTATTCTAGCTGTTACAGCCGCCCAGGCCAGACACTGTGGGGAATAAAAAGAGGCAGGAAAGGGGAGAGACGGGTGTAAATGGAGGGCACAGGTCGTGTGGCTGGGTGAGCTCACACACCCTCAGGGATGCCTTCTGGGCAGTCTGAGTCAGATCCTGAAGGCTGCAAAAATGTGGAGTTGGAAAGAAAGGGAGGGCCCTTCAGAAGGGAATGCAGCAGGAGCAAGGGCCTTGAGAAGAGACCTGGACAAGGCCTTGAAGGACAAGGAGGTCCTGGACAGGCTGAGAAGAAAAAGAAAGGCACATCAGAGGGGAGCCCTGTGCCAAGAGGGAGATTTTACCAGGTGAACCAAAACCAGGTGTGGGCATTCTGGAGTGTGTCATGAGTCCTGGGGGACATCTGAAGGCTGGGATTGGAGGCAGAGAAATGGTTGGAGAGTCCTAGCCCCTCTTCGATTCAGAGGACCACTCTGGAGCTGACCCCTCACCCATGCCCCATGCCCCTTGCTAAAATGAGCATAGCTTTGCTGGGTGTGGGGTTTTGTCATTTTCTTGCCCAGGGCTTCTTTTCCAGCAGGCAGCCAGGGCAAGCAGGAGTGCAGCCAAGGTCACGGCCTTCAGTCCCAGGACCACAACTGTGAGCAAAGACAGGAGGTCTGGGGGACACAAAGGAGAGTTAAGGAAGGTGAGCCTCAACAGCTCACGCCTCAGTGCGCCCTGTGGGCATGGCTGGGCTCAGCTGCCCTATTATAAGCTCTGGGGCCACTTTCCTTCTATCCTGGAAGGGGAGATGCAAGTTCTCCCTCCCTTTGTCCCAGGCCCAGAAAGGCTTTGCTCAATGTCCTACCTGTACCTTTAAGCATCTTGATAGCATCCCCGACCTCTGACAACGTTAAGTAAGTCCTCACTTAACGTCATCAACAGGTTCTTTGACTTTAAGCAAAACATTTGTGTAATGAAACCAGTTTTACTGTAGTCTAATTGATATAAACAAGAGTGAAGTTCCTATGGCACTTCATCAACATTGTAATGAAATGATGGTGCAGCATCATCCAAGGACCTGCTATAACAGAAAATTGCTTTCATTTATTGGCTGCTCAGCTCCTCTGCCCCAGGCCCCAAGCTAAGCACTTCCTAATTGCATTATATAATCTTCAAACTAATCTTGCAAGGTAGGATAGCAATGCAATTTGTATACAGACCGAGAGTGGGGAAGTGATTTGCTCTGAGCCACATGTGTCAAAGAAGTGGTGGGCTCCCAAGAATGGCAGGAGCAGGGCTGAGCATCAGGCAGGACAACCTGGCCACCTCTATTCCCAGTTCCCCCCAGTTGTCAAGTGCTTCCAAGTGCTAACGGGTGAGGTGACAGGCACAGTTCTGGGCACTCAGCACATGTGACTCATTGGATCCACACATAACCCTGCCAGATGGGCTCTCTGATCCTTATCTCCAGCCTTCCCCTCCCTGCAGTTCACAGAGCAGGACACCAGACAGTGAAGGAGTGAGGCCACCTTCCTACAATCTCACAGATAGAAAGGGGCTCAACCAGGAAGCTAGAGGGCCATGCACTTCAGTACTGTTATGCACAGATTTACAGTGTAATCATACAGGGAATCATGGGGAGCTCACTACCTCTCAAGCAAGACTGCCCACTGAACAGCACTGTCTGTTTCTCCAATTGAGCTTTAGCAAGATTCTCTGGGTTCGTGGTTCTGCAGTCAAGATGAAGCCCTAGGAACTTTTTTGGATGCAGATGGGCCCTAGAAGGGACAACTTCCTGCCCATGGCTAAGCCATCTTTGGCCATCCCACCTCCCACCCCTTGCCTGTGGGGGACTGGCTAACTTCATTGGAGGCAGATATACTCACCTGACAGAAATCTCCCTGCTGCAGGTTGATCGATGACTTCTGTCTTTTGGGGAGAAGTGGGCTTTGCTGCAAGGAAGAGAGGTGGTCTTGAATTCCATTTTCTTTCTGTCCCACCATTTTCTGAGCCCTGTGCTTGGAGCTTGGGGTCACCCAGATGAGTCTGCCAGTTTCTACCTGGGATGGGATTTGAATTCTTGTAACCTTCATGGTTACTCGAAGTCAAACCTTGTAACCATGAAGGACTAGTTGGACCTTCACGCTTGAGCATCTGTGGGGCAGAAACAATGTCTGTTTCATTGCAGTGTCCATAGCACTGTGTGCAGTGCAGAGCAGTCAGCAGGCATGTGCTGGATGTTTGCTGAATCATTAACTATACGAGGATCGCCGAGACCTAGGGCAGGGAGAAATTAACTCTTTCTGGTAAAAGGAGATTTCAGAGTAGGGGCTATTTATGCTGTGCTTTGAAGGATGAATAGGAGTTCAAATAGAAAATGAGAAAACATTCCAGGCAGAGGGAACAGCTTATGTAGAGGCATGGCAGCTGAAAAGAGCTGGATTGTTCAGGACATGGTGAAAAGTGTCTTGTGGATAGCCTCCCACTTCCCCTTAACTCCTCCTGGGCCACCTGTCTCACCGTTCACTCTCAGCCTGGTTCCCTGTCCTGATAGGTATTGCCTGATGGGCTTCCTCTGAAACTTTACACAGTAGTAGGTGCCTGTATAGTCCGTGGAAACACCTTGCAGAAGAATGCTGAAATCACTGCTGGAGGCCTGGACCGCAGTCACATTGGGCTGGGAGATGCCTTGGAAGTTGTAAATGGCTTCCCGACTCACACCAGTCCCCCGAAACCACCTGATGGGTCCGGAAGGGCCATCTCCCACCACTGTGCAGTTCAGGAAAACGGTGTCTCCAGGGGTCGCCAACACCAGCTCCTGGGGCTGGATGATCCAGAGGCTTGGCTGTGGGTCTCCAGCTCCTGAAGCCAAAGAGAGGTCCTTGTTTTATTCTCTCTCTTCTTCTGTTGTCCACTCATTTCCTCCCTCCTATCATGCCTCCCTTCCCCTTCCCTGACTTCTTCACTCATCCAGTCCCTCCTATGTTCCTTCATTACTCAGTAGTTCATTCACTCAGTAAAGAAGTTCTCAGTACTCAGTTTGCACTGATGCTAGAACTGGGGGAAATGAAGCTCAGAAAGACACACAAATGTCCCGCTCCGAAGAAGGTCTGTCTGGTGGTGGAGATGGTCCAGAGAATCCCCCTGACTTTGGAAACCTAGAGGACTGCAAGACTGAGAGAAACCAGCAGCCACAGCTTGAAAGGAATCAGAGAAGTCTTCCTAAAGTGCTTGCATTGAGTTAAGATGAAACACCCCCTACCACACCCCACACACAGATACTCTCCATGTCTGCAGTTTACAGAGGGCTTCACAGACATCCTTTCTGTTTCATCACCCTGAAGGACTCTTGAAGTAGGAATTGCATTGCCTATTTTTCAAGTTAAGCACTTGAAGTACATTGAACTGAAGTGACTGATTTAAGACCACACTTCTATTGAATGGCACACCCAGGATTTAGGTATCCAGGTCATCACTGATGAACTTACAGATAACATGACTGATTTCTTAGGGATTGAGGTAAATTAAAGGATCAGCCTCAGTTCTCCATTGCCCTCTCCTGCCATGGCCTCATGATGGCAGGGTACATTTTCTGGTTCATTGAATTTGAGCTGAGTCATGTGACTTGCATTAACCAATGGGCTCTTAGCAGATATTGTGCCAGTAGAAGCTTCAAATGTGTTAGGAATGTTGGAACTTGCCTTTTTGTTCTTCTGACATCTCCGTGAGAAAAATGTGCTTTGGCCAATCTGGGCCCTGGAATGAGACGTGTGGAATAGAACCACCCCAGCTATAAATGTGCAAGTGAGCTACACTAATTGTTATGTGCCACTGAGATGTTTGTGTGTACAGAATGATTGTGGATTAAAGTGATGGGAGTTGGGAAACAGATCAGAGCAGAGTCTGACACTCACCCTTCACCAGCACCGATGTGCCCTCATCCAGCCGCGTTTCTGAGTGCTCACGTGAGCCATCAAACCTCACGCAGTGGTAGGTTCCTGCCTCCTTCCTGGTGACATTATGGATGTAGATGGAATAGTCACAATTAAGTGGCTCCAAAGTCTGTTGGATCATGGGTGTCACCCCAGGGAAGAAGCCATGTTTGAAGGTGTAAATCTCCTGCTGGGTCTGATTGCTCACCTTGACCCATTTTACCCTGGCATCAATGCACGAGCCGGTCACGGTGCACCTCAGTAGGAGTGTCTCACCTTCTGCCACTAGCATGGGACCCTTGGGTTGCAGCACCTCCCACTCATTTCCGTTGCCCTGCTCAGAGGTTCCTATAATAGAGGAAGAAAGGCCTTGAGCTGGGCAGGAAGGACTTGGAGACCTAAGAGGCAAGCTTAGAAGAAATTAGTCATTAGCTGGCCAAGAACAGTTGCTCAGTACCCTCCGGGAGTGTTGCTGGAGACGGAGGTGAAAGAGATGAGGCAGATACCTGGAGAGAACAGAGCCATTGAATGGAGAACTACAAATAGCAGGTGGCACTTGAGTGCTCACGATGTGCCAGGCACTGATGCATTATTGCATTTATTCCTCCCGACACTCCTGAGAGGTGGGCACCATCATCCCCTTTTAGAACAAGAGACACTGAGTGCCCACAAAGGTCAGGTAACTTTCCCAGTACCACCGTTTATGGATCACCAGATATGTCTATTTACATATAAGTAGACATTTAAATGTGAATGGTCTAAATGTCCTAAGTAAAAGTTTCAGATTGTCATATTGAATAAAAAAGTAAGACCCAATTATCTGTTGCTTTTAAGAAATGTACTTTAAATAGAAAAGGTTCAAATAGGTTAAAAGGAACATGATAAAAAGACAGAAAGCAGACTAGCACTAATCAAAAGAAAGCTGGAGTGGCTGCATTAGTATCAGAATAAATAGACCTCGGACCATTATGAAGAATGTCACTTCATAATGATAAAGGAGTAAGTTAATCAAGAAGACGTACAAATCCCAAACATCTATGCACTTCAGAACTGAACTTCAAAGAATATAAAGCAAAACCCAACAGAACTGCAGGGAGAACTAGACAAACCCACAGTTATAGCCTGAGATTTCAATATCCCTTCTTCCAACAGTTGATTGAAAGTGCAGGGCTCAGCACAAGGTAAATACCAAATGTATGAGCTATCCTTACTTGAAGAAGCCAGCTCAGAAAAATGAAGTAGTTCCTCAAGTCCTAGCCAGAGAACAAGGGAGCATCTAGGTCTGTCCCCACACCTGGGTCCCACCAGGGTACCTTTTAGGGTACCCTGACCATCTTGGAGGACCCAAGGTGTGAGGAACAGAATCTAGATTGCAGTAGGGCCTGGGGCAAGGGGCCCTACTGAGCCAGAGATGGAATGAGGCTGCTGAGAGCCAAGCCCCTTGTCTGGTGGATCGCAGTGTTCTGGGCTCTGAGGCTGAGCATTACCCAGGACTTTGGAGCTAAATCACACTGATCTGTGTGATAATAGCCAACAGTTATTAAATCTTTACATTGTGCCAGGTACAAGTTTACCTCTGAAACAACACGGGTTTGAATGCTGCGGGTCCACCTGCAGGTGGATTTTTTTCAGTGAATACATACAGCACTATAAATGTATTTTTCTCTTCTTTATGATTTTCTTAATTATGTTTTCTTTTCTTTAGCTTATTTTATTGTAAGCTATACAGTTTGTTGTACATATAACACAAAATTTGTGTTGATTGACTGTTTCTAAGGTTTCCGGTCAACAGTAAACTATTATTAGTTAAGTTTTTGGAGAACTGTGATTTTTAATTGCATGGGGAGTCAGAACCTCTAACCCTTGCATTGTTCAAGGGTCAACTGTCCTTATAGGCATTATTTCATTGAAATCTCCTAACAAAATCATGAGGTGGGTCCTATGATTAGCCTTGTTTTATGGAGAAGAAAGCTGAGGCTCACAGAGAAGTTACTTAAAGCAATAGGCGATGATATTTGAGCCTGGCTTTGTCTTGGGCTGGGCCAGGGCTGGCGCATGGACATTCAATGTGAATAGTCAGAGGGGGCACCATGCTCAGCAGTGCTCCATGCTTGAGTTAATGGTTTGCTGTTGCCTTAAAATTCTTAACACTTTTTGAAGAAAGGACTTGCATTCTCATTTTGCACTGGGCCTTGCAGATTACATCAACAGCTCTGAGCTGTTCCTCACAATTTTTATGTTTAATACTCCCAACACCTCTAGAGAAAGGTCTCATAAATTGTCTTGTTTTGCAGAAGAGCCGTGGCATTTGACATGGACACACAAGTGTCCAAGACAGAAACCTCCTGGCATGAGCCCAGAGCCTGGGAGCTTAGCTGGAACTGAGCTGCCTAGGAAGTTCTGCTTCTTGGAACACTGGGTACGTGCTCTGCTGGGGTCAGGAAAGTTCTCAACACCCTCCTCCTACTCTGTCTTGGCAGGTTCAAGCTCCAGCAGGCATGCCAGAGCACCTGGTGCCCCTATCTGGGAGAAGCCAGGGGTCATTCTGTTCTGTCCCAGACCCCACTCACCTGAGAGGACAAGCAGCAACACCAGTAGCTGGGAGGGAGGTGAGTGGGTCCTGTGGAGAGGGGCGGGCATGATGCGGGACACGCAGTACCTTCTGTGGTCCCTGGGACTGGCCGCCTCTTTGCTCCCTGATGCGTGTTGAAGTCTGAAGTGGGGCCTGTGGGCGAGGCTGTGTCTGCTTCTTGTGGTGAAGGCTGCTTGGGGAAGTGTGTTGACTATAGCAAGATAAGGCTGCTGATGCAAGAGGAAAGAGCCTGGTGGAGGGGTTTCCAGCTTTCGTGTCTGGGCAGTGGTTCCTGTAATTGCTGGTTGAACTTTGATGATCCATTGCCACAGACTGCCCTCAGCACTTGGGAGGGAGGTGAGTATGGCTGTCACAGTATGTGCTCAGGTCAGCTGAGCTTTGGGTCAAGGGTGGGGATTGCCTCTTCCTGGCTGTGTGACCTTTCAAACCGACATGCTATCTCTGAGCCTTTTTGTTTCTAAGTCCATTAAAGTAAGCCCAGACTCTTCCAGATGCTGGTGGCCTCATTAGCCACACTGTCTGGGTCCAAATCTTGGCTTCACCCGGTCATTGCAATCATTTGGGCACTTGGTGCTTCAGTTTCCTGGGCTGTAAAACAGAGTAAAAATATGGTTGCATGCATGGGTGGAGTAGGCACTGCAGATGCTGTCATCATTCTGTTTTAGGTGAAGTCAGTCTTCCCCAGGAAAAAACAGCAACTCGTGCTTTCAGCGATTCCCTCCCTACCTCCTACTCCAGATAGTCCTGGGTGCAGAGGAAGCTCAGCTTTGGGTCTGAGTACTGTCATGAGGAAGTCACGATCGCGGCAAACTTTGTACCGGGCCTGCTGAGGTGTGGCCCGCCCTGTCTGGCACTTCAGGACCACTTGCACTGGCACCGCTGCTGAATCTCACTGCTCCCTTTACTGTCCTCCTGTGGAGGAGACCCCCATATAGGAGCCTCTTTACACTGACAACAGGCCTAAAAAGTTTCATGAGACCCTCAGGGCCTTGATGTCATCCTCCCAGGGGAACTTCTGAATCACCTGCTCATCTCAGCTATTTCTTTTATTTTCATCGTTCACTAAAAATTAATTTAATTTGTTTTATTAGGTCAGGCATTACATTGATCAGCTGTTGCTGGGTAACCAGCACTCTAAATGTGATGGTTTAAAACAATAACCATTTATTTAATTCAAGATTCTGTGGGTTGATAGTTTCACCCAGGCTCCACTCCATGGTTCTTTTCACATCTGCTGATTGCTCATGCATTTGACCTCAGCAGCTAGGTAGCTCTGAGGTAGCTCTGCTACTGCGGTGGACTGATTGTCACCTGGGCCACCTTAGCTCTCCTCCATGTGGTCTCGCATTCTTCAGGGGGCTACTCTGGGCTTGTTCCCATGAGAAGGGCAGTTTTGAGAGAGAGCAGAAGTTGTCACAAGGTACAATGTCACTTCTACCACATTCTTTGGCCAAAGCATGTCATAAGACCAGACCAGATTCAAGGGTTGGAAAATAGACTTCACCCCTCAATAGGAGGAGCTGCACAAGCATATTGCAATGGGTGGGGGTACAGGGAGTGGGTAAAGAACTGCACATTTTGGTTACTTATCTACCATGGGCATCCACAGGGTTCAGAATTCACCGGTTTCAAGGTCCTTTATAAGGCTCCCAGACATTACCTTCCTCGGGGTCAACCATGACCACACAGTTTCTGGAGATGTTCAGTTCCTCTACTAGTTCTGACCTGCCACTCAGAAGCCAGGTGGATCATGGCCCCTTTGGGAGGCCTGTGGCCTTCCAGATGCCCTAGGAAGCCAGGCTATGGTCTCTTCTGCTCTAAAATCTGTAAACACAGGGGATCCTCACTTCACCCCAGAGTTGGTACCCCAGGGTCACGGGGGTGCCAGGACCCTAGCACATCACCTCCTGCCCAAGCACTCCCCTTTTCTTGTCGCCCTCCACCAAGTCACAAGGGGAGGCGTTCCCCTTTTTTCCATCTGTAGGGACTTTCCTAACCTCAGCCTTCTCCTGAACAGATGGTCTCCCTTGTTCTTGCTGGGACCCCTCAGGCTCCCTCCTCCAGGCAACAAATCTCAGGCGCCAGCTTTGTTAAGGGTGGAGCTGCCCAGGAGGGAACTGGATTACTGTGAGAGGCAACATGAAAAACAGTAAACAAGCCAAGGGAAAGCATTTGACCTCATCAGCTGTCAAATAAATACCAGAGAAAAGAACAGCAAAGATGGTGTTTTTGCAGTCAGCATTTATCTCCACTCCTCTGTCTGCCCTTTTCTTTATTGGAGGGCTGAAAGTCCAGACCCACATTTTCCAGGACTTTCAGCCCTGTTCCGGAGGTGTGCTTGCATTCGCTTTGAAAGGTAAGAGGAAGGAGAGGCCAGGTTGCTTTTCTAGAAATGGAGCAGGGCAAATGTGTGGGCATCAGCAGGTGGCAAATGTGAGGTTTTGCAGTGGCTCCCACACTCTCTTCTGTAAATGACCTAAAATCACAGGCAGCTGTGACCACTAGTGGTCAGTGCCTATGAGTTTTTCAGATTCTTGACTCTCCAAGAAGTAGCAATGAACTTGGGAGATAGAGCCTCAGAATGGCTAGGCAGAAACTAAACTCTGTGTGGTAGGAGTGGGGGTGGGGTGGGGAGGAAGGAGAAGTGTTATAGACAGTGTTACGGGGAGGCTGCTGAGTGGGGCAAAAGAACTCTTCTGGCCTTGGTCTTATGAGGTGGCATGAATGTGGGCAAGTTATGACTCTCTGGGGCTTATTTCCCCCTCTCTAAAATAGGATAATAATATTGCTTCACTGCTTTTGAGAATTAAATGAAATAACAACATGTCTGGCACATCATCAATACTACATGCAGGGTTTTGAAACAGGAGGCTAAATGAGGCTTCGATCGCTGAGGTTCCAAAGCTGAGAACAAGGGGTGTGGGTATCTCTGCAAGCTGAGCAGCTGGATTTTTGTCTACACAGAGAGGCAAAAGGGATGGCCAAAGACTACTTTTGCACTGATAGCCTGGCGGCTACCCTGACAGTACATAAAGGGAGCTGGGTATTGATCCTTTGAGACATTACTTAGAGTGGGATTTCTTTAGAACATGGATAGTGGAAATGCTTAGCAGAGGGAAGAGGAGTTTAAACCACCTCAGGCTGACCGAAGGGTTTAAGAGTGCCCTCAGCAAGCTTGACTGTATCCCCTGGAGTTGTCACTGTCTCACACCCAGACAAGTGTGGGGTGAGGGCTGGCGGGCCGCTGGGAACTGCAGCCTGGAGTTCCCTGGGGACAGCGCTGAGGAACGCACAAAAGCGATGCTTGGGAGAATTATATTTGAACTCCCCATCCACCAATAAGCACTGTGTTACTGAAGGGGGAAGAGGGGAAGGAAAATGGGTAGGAATCTCCTCACCTCTTTCTTCTTTCTCAATCTTGGGGGAAGCCAGAGACAGCGGTAAGAGGAAGAACGAATGGAAGAACAAGGTGGGAAATGGCCAAGAAGCCCACCCATCACTCAGCCTCATGCAGGTTTCCGGACCAGAACCTGGTCCCAGCTGGGGGAGAGGAAGCTACTGATGGAGAGATTGTGATTTCAATTACCCGAATGATAAGTACGTTATCACCTATTTGGAGGGATGACATGGTAGAGCTTATCTGAAAGGCAGTGTGAAGAAGGAAGCAGCTTTCTCCTTGAACCCTACCAAGTCAAGTACATCTGACAAACTGATTTTAAGAACAGGAACACAAAAGGTGTCTGTTTAAGAGAGTTGGGTGAACTTCAGCTGGCTAGAAGTTGGAAGAGATTATGTGTAGACACTCTGTCTCCCCCTTTTTGCAGCCTGCAATGTGAGGGGCCTCTGGGGTCTGACCCCCCAGCACTCCTGTTCTGTCCCTCATCTTACAAAGGGGGGGGGGTCCTGTGAGTAGCATTGCTAGTAGAGGTGACCAGGGCATTAGTGTGGGTGAGCTGGATGTGGCGAACCATGGTGCCCTGGCCTCATGCTCTGATGACCAGAAAACCTACCTGAAGAAGGAAGGGGCAGGGGCAGAAGAGTGCCTGGGGCCAGAAGAGAGGCTAGAAAGGATTTTGGCCCCACCCCTCAGAGGAGGTAAAAAGATGCTTTTTCCTCCTTCCCTGGAAACTGGTGATGGCACCTGATGATGCCCCACAGCAGAGATTGTGTCTTTCAGCAGCCAGGAGGATGACAGACACTGATGAACCCTGGATCTGAGTCCAGAACTATCTCACAAACACTTCTTTACTGCCCACTATGCATCGCTGCCTTCCCAAAGGAATGCTTTTTCTAAACATGTGGTTCCTAGAAACTTTTAGCTGCAAATCATGGGAAAAGATGTTAGAGCTGGCAGGACCAAGGAATTTTCTCTGCAGACATGGACCTTAAAATGCCCCCTTCTTTTCCTCCCCTTATGCCTCCTGCCATCCATTCATCCTTCTCTCTATTATTTCTTTCATCTATTCAACACTAGACATTGTATAACATAGTCATTCAACACATACTGAGTACCCACTAAGTACCAGGCACTATTTTGGGTGCTTAGGCTTTATCAGTGAAGTAAACAGACAAAACTCATTGCCCTTTGGAGTTTACATTGCAGGAGGTGGGAGTAAGACAGGCAATATGTAATAAATAATGAAGCAAAAAGTAAATCATGCAGTGTGTTAGAAAATGGTAAGTCCCATGGAAAAACATAGGGTGAGGAAAGGGGATGAGGTGAAATGGTGGAAAGGGGCCTTGTAAGGACTTAGGGTAAGGAATAGGGCTATATGCTCAGTGATGTGAGTAGCTATTGCAAGGTTCAGAGCAGAGAGGGACTGGATCTGACTCTTGTTTTAAAAGGATCCTCTGCTGGCTGCGTTGGGAATGGATGAGAGAGGCAAAGACAGATGCGTGGAGATGAGTGAGGAACTGATTACAGCAATCTGGGAACAATGGTGGTGAGTCAGTGAATCTGGGCAGTTGAGAGAGAAGTGGTCGGACTCTGGATATATTTTAGGGATGAGTAAACATGATTTCCTGATCAACAGATATGGGGTGAGAGAGAAGAGTCGGGATGCCTCCTAGATTTTTAGCTGAATTGCCTGGAGTAATGGAGTTCCCATCAACTGAAATGGGGAAGTCTGTGAGTGGAGCA